CCCCCCCCCCCCGCCCCCATTCGCCTGGGGCTGAAGGCAAAAGGGCACCGGAGGGGGGGGGGACCCAACGGGCAGTCGCTGTCCTCTGAAAAGCCCCCTTGATCACCTCACTGACCAGTGGTCACGCTTCTGGAAAACAAAACTTGGTGATGTGAGATCAGAGCCCACTGGGACAAGAACCCTTGGCGTAGCTAAAATGTCGCCCGCCGTAGCCACAGAACAATGATGGGGACTGGAAAAGGGACTCTGGTGCAGCCTCTGTCCCATTCGCCTGACCTTATGGCCTTCCCCTTTGTCATTCCAACTCCGTGCTCCCCGAACCGGACATTCCAACTTTTCCATATTTCCCCCGCTTCCTATGTTTTTTTTGGCCTGGCATGCACGAAATGCTCGTGGCACAGAAGATGCTGCGGCACCAGCGGTTACCCCAGGGTTCTCCCCAAACCTTAGGCCACACGGACGCTGCTCCCCCACACACAAGCATTACTCTTTGGAGTGGGGCAGGCTCCTTCTGTGTGGGGTTCAGGGCTTCTCACGTTACCTTAGCGCTGCCTAAAGGTGCGACGCTGCGGCAGCAGCTCCCGTGCTTCTGGAGCAATGGCCAGGACCAGACCTTAAGAGACACGAGCAGGGAAGCAAAAGCCGAAGGAGCCCCAACTAGGGATTCAGACCTTCATATCTGCTCGCTGTGCGACTGCCTTCTGCAACTGAAGCATGTTGTGACCCACGAAGTTAGCAGTCAGGACCCAGGAGAAGTTGGTCTCCCCATAAACGCTCCGCCAGATTTCCTGAAGGTCACTTGAAGCTCGGTGACCCGTCAGACCCTCTTCAGACAGTTTAGACCCCCGTGGCTTCTACGTCACCATCCCAATGGGGACTGTTCCTTTAATGAACACACAACTCCCTATAATTATGCCTTGTTTGTCAACATCTTTGGGCGTTACTTCTGAGAGCAGAGCTTCCAGAAAGCCAATATATTATTCAAATGTTGAGTGCAGATTTTGAACTACTGGGAGGGGGGAGGGGGCCTCCCAGCATCTTCAAGGGGTGATGCCCTGGCTGCAGATTTAGGCCAGAGCCCAAAGGGACGCAGGTGCACATTCCACCCATACATACCTTTAGATCCTAAATTTAGCCTGCAAGGTACTAGAGGGAGACCCTCAAATAGCCTCATGAAGAAAATTAAAAACTCAGTAAAGCTTTTGTGGGTGGTTCCTTATTTCTGCCAAGACGGCATGATGAGACGTTGGCCAAGCAGTGGCTGTTTCAGGGACGGTGGCCCCTCTGATGAACTGTCACTAGAAATGAAGTGGCCCAAAGACACTGAAGTACCACCCAAGGTCCCCACACTGGCAAGCTCAACATCTAGTCCTGGGCCCATAAGGGAGTGTGGGGAGGTGTTATTCCATGTTCATTGCCAAGCAAAGGTTAGTGAAAAGGAGGGCCAATAATTAAAACCTTTCCATAACAGATAAAAAGAGGTACATGTATTTATTAATAATAATAACAAATTTTAAAACATATATAGAGGCCCATTTACAACCAATGTATATAAAATATAACAATACTTTGTATATATTTCTGATTGTGTTTATGTGAAAATAATTATTAACCATCTTGCCACA